TGCACTGAAATGGTTCAGTATCGGGAACACTTTCGCGAGTAGTACAATCGGGCTGCCTAAGTTATGCAGCCTGCCAGCCATGTGTTACAACATGCGAACGGCACGCAGCTTTCTTCGTTGGTCACTAACTTTCAGCAAAATGCTAATTTAAACTTAAAGGGGGTTCATTCAGCACTCTGTCTGGTATTTTAAACTGTTGCCCTTTAAAATCGCTTGTCATTTTTCAGGTGGGGACCAGCTGCTGTCTGTAAACTGTCCATTCTCAGACTCTGGCAGTTTTCAGCTGCATATTTGACATCAATATGGTGCAAAAGATTGCAGTGCACCAGTGTCGAAGTGCAGTGCAACTAGGGCAATGTGTGGCCAACACGGGCTAGGTCACAGAGCCTTAAATGGGAACAATAGTATCTAGATAGCCACTGCTGCATCATTCTATAGCTTTGCCTGTTGTTGGCTCAGAGAAGTTGGTTTCCTGTCACTGCAGTAATTGGATTTTATACCCTACGAACCCTGTAATTTAGGGGTATAAAGGATGTGTGCGCTTATCAGCCTTAGGCTTCCTTTTGTTTGTCAGCAGCTGTGAAGCAACCAGAAAGGGATTAAAGAGAAAAGTCTGTGCTTGTTGCACAAATTTCTCTGAAACTCTTAATTCACAGCTGAATTAAATGCCGTGCAGAACTAAATGAAAGGGAGAAATATACTTCAGTGAAACAAAATTTCTCAATGTTTTTAAAATGAAATACCACATAAAATGTAATAATGACACAATCAGCTACTGAGATGTCTTATTGATAACTGGGAACAGTACATTGACCAAACTGATATTTATATCTTACTGCGAATTCATGCTGGTCCCACAATCAAATCGGGTCATACCAGAAATGACGCATATAAAATGTGATTGATTAATTTGGAGATTGTTTTGGCCAAAGCAATGGACAAAATTTGTGTTAGATGCTGAGAGAAAAAATAATATAGTTGGGGAGGGGGGAAATGGCAACATAAAACATTCCGTGCTACAATTAAAGCATGTGGAATTGAAGACAATCTTGTGGCATTCACAGGAAATTGATTCAGAAGCAGGAAGAAACATCAGAGGTGTGGGGGGGTTGGGGTAGGGAGTAAGAGACATTCCCTGATTGGGAGTGGGGGGTGGCATGTGGTGTCCCCAAATATCAGTGTTAGGGCTGCAGATTTTCACACCATTTTTTTGTAAATGAATTGGATTGGATATAGGAATAGAAGGAAGTGTATTCAAGTTTCCTGACAACACTAAGCCAAGAGATGTAATCAATTGTGAAGAGAGCAGAAATTTATACAGGGACAAAGATTGATCAAGCGAATATGTGAATCTATGGTAGATGGAGTTTAGAATAGGGAGTTGTAAAATAGTACATATTGGACATACGAATGATAGTTGGGAATGTAGCCTATATGGGAAAGCACTGTGGTGGGGTTGATGAACCATTGGATTCAGAAGTCCAAGTGCATAAGTCATTATCATCCAGCTTGTTGGTGCAAAAGGCAGTCAAAAAGTTCATGGGATGCTGTAATTTTTAATATGAATATAAAAGCAAGAAAATATCTGTTGTACATAGGGCTGGTCAGACCTTGTTTGAAATACTGCTTTCAATTTTGATCCTTCAACCTCAGGAAGAATATAGTAACCTTGGAGGGGGCCCAGCATTGATTTCACCAACTTCATAACTGGAATGGAGGAGTTTATCTTTAATCAGAGGCTTGGCAAACTGGCGTTGTATTCTTTAGAGCTGAAGAGATTAAGGGGTGTTCTGATTGAGGTGCATAAAATAATAAAAGGCGTTAACAGTTCAGATTGGGGATGATTTCCCTCCAATTAGGGGTCCAAAACAAGGGGATATAGTTTGAAAATTTAACCTAAGCTGCTTAGAAATAAAATCAGAAGAATTTCTTCACACGAAGGCTTATAAGAATGGAGAATGCACTATATCTGAAGGTCACTGATGTAGAATCGATGTTTAAAAGGGAGTAGATAGCTGGAAAGTAAGGGCTTTTAGAGAAATGGAGAAAAGGCATCTTAAAGATTAAAAGATCTGCCACAGTTTTTTTTTAAAAAAGCAGCGTTAGCTTGACAGATTGAAAGGTCTACTTGGGTTCCTATCTTCCTATTATGCAGTAAGACTCTAACTACTGGCAGAAGCCCACAATATGTGCCAGACTCCTTTGATTTGTTAAAATCTGCTGCAGTGATGCCAAGGTTTGTAGACTTGTGTACAGTTTTGCTGGGTTATTGATTGTGAGTTGTTTTTGATAGATTACCACTGATTATCATAACCAAGTGAAGGCCCTTAATCACAGCAAATTAATCTCTGAACTAGAGATCCATTGTGAATTACATCTTAAGTGCACACTTCTAACCATAAAACGCAGTGTATTTTTTTATAATCCAAATCTTGTAAAGGTCAGGTAACTTCCTCCCTTTACCATCAAGGTGCAGTCCCTATTTCAAACAGTTATTGTTGTTTTTGACACCATTTAAAGCGAATCAGATTCAGATGTATTTCAAACTGTGTCATCATGAGTTACATTCGGTGGTATGTTCGCAGGCAACTGCATGAGCTGTAAGCTGGAACTGAACGACCGGCAAAACAAATGAAAACCTGTAAAACGATTTTGGTTATGTTCAATATCTTGGTGGTGAATATTTGGATCCTTCAAGTCAAACCTCTACACCACAGGCTGGAGTGCTGACAGCATCTGATATTCAACTTGCCAACCGAATGTCTTGCCTATGTTTTGCTGCCCACAGGCAGAGGGCATCATGGTGTGTGTGTGTGCGCGGAGGAAGGGGGAAACCAACAGGATCCCTAATTGCCCATTACCGCACAAATATATACCTCCTACTGGCTGGCTGACGTGAATGGAGTTAATGCCGTGGTTGTGTGTGACTTTAGAGTTCCACTTACCTGCATTCCAAGCCAGCACGTCACGAGGTTGGAAATTAAACAACCGACAGGAGGACAAACAAAACTAAACAACAAGATTTGGCTTCCGTTTTACCGGAATCCGTAGCAACTGGAACAAAATGATTCCTGCTTCGTGGTGATGAGAGCTTCAAATGGAAAGTGATCAGTTGCAAAGGGGAAGCTGAAGAGGTGTGTCAAAATAGAACCACAAACCTGCCTTTGTTTGGATATTATGTTTAATCGCTTGTGAAATACCCAGACCCATTCAATTTGCAGCCCAAAGCAGGCTCACTTTATTCCAAGTCAATTGAATAAGATTTGGATTGGCCCCACATCGCATGTATTAAGGGGAGAACATTTGTCAAAGCTTCTGCTGCAGATGCGTTACAAACTTGTTACAAGTCTTCTTTAAAATATTTTTACTGTATTTTATTTTCATTCAACACCCAAGGGCGAGAATTGTCATCTAAAAGGATGCATCCCCTCAGACAATCTGGTCTCCATTTGAATAAATCTGTTCTGACACGTGAAAGAAACAAGTTAATTTTCATCTGATCACTTTGAGTAGCTGCAGGGTGACTGGAAACTATCTGAACTGCTCTCTGACAAACGTTAGTTGAATACCAAAAGAAGAAACACCCAATTTGGTGCCTCTAAAACAGAAGTTAGCACATTTTTATGCAGAGAATATCCTTTTCTTTTGCATTCTGTGAGACATGGACATGACTGGGTTCAGGGAAGGTTGAAAAGCAGTTTGATATGAAATCTTGAATCAGTGAAGAGGCCTCTCCTGATTAAACAAAGGTAGCTGGGTCTCGGGTTAGTATAGGATGATTGATCTGAGCAATGTGTTCCTGCTGAAACTGCTCTTATGAGGCAAGTTGTTTGAACATGTTAGAGACATGGACCAAAGGGGGCTCACAATTGTAAAGTGGATGTCTGCACATCCTCTTCCTTTCATGTTCAAACCATCCTCTTTTGTTTGCTAAGGATTGGAAACTCCCAGCACGGAACAGTGGTCAAAGCATGAGAATTACTGTTAACTCAGTAGGACAAAAAAGCTGAAGGAATAGATCGAATGGAATCTCCTTGTGAACGGGGATGGGGGGGAGAGACAGGATGTAAAGCAGCTGGAGGGTGTGAAGCTTGTAAAAGAGACTCTGAACACTTACTGCATCTTAAAATCGGACACAGAGGATTTGCTGGTTGGGTTCAGTAATGGTCTGTTCCCAGAGAGTGAGCTAAATAGTGGCATCTTTAATTTGCTCGTCTTTGACAGCTGGTTTAGCTGCTGCAACCAGAGAAAAGCTATCATTAAAATTATGGCTTTGAAACTGCCCCGAGTTTCTCATCCTCTGCACCTATAATCCTCAAGTTTCAGTCTGTCTGACCACTTGACAGGATAATATTTTTTATCCGAGTGACAGCTTAAAACATACAGCGCATTTCCTGCAGAAGCGATGAAAATAAAAGCAAAATCTGCAAATGCTCATCACCGAGACAAAGGGGAATCACGACGATGGGGAAGGAAGGGGGGAAAAGAGAGACGATTGATAGCACGAAGATGGCCATGAACAGTATTTTCTCTTACAGTCTATAAATACAAACGGATCGTTTAGGCGAGCTCCGATCAGAAATGCTCCCAAATCCTTTAATGCTGGGCAGAATGTGCTTCGAGAGAGAATAGAATTTAATCAAAAAAGATTAAAGCCCACTTTCTAATGAAAGATCTGTCCTTGTACGTTATGCCATGTTGGCCAGAGTCCAGGTGTGTAGTGTGTGTGTGTGTGTGTGTGTGTGTGGTGTGTTGCACACACCTTGCAACATTGCACAACCCTGATGCCTTTTTTTTTTTTAGGTGGGTGGGGGGGTTGGGATGGGATGAGATGGATGAGGCTGTTATGGCTCAGCACCTGGGTTTGCAGCAGAGCATTTTAAAGCAACCGTTCATAGCACATCAGAGCAGCGCGTTAACCAAATAAATAAGGAGGGCAGTGAAATCCGACATTCCAGTTTGCAGGAGGGTTTCGATTTGGGTCAGGAAAAATAGCTTACCTCAATCATTTCCTACTTTTCCAGCCCGGCACACTCACTAATCTGCGTCTCTGCCCGGGGGTGAATATGTTGCATAATATGCCTCATCTCCTTCGATGTGAGAGCCGACAATGATGTCTTCAGTCACGTTGCCGTCACGCCTGGTTGAAGCGCTGACCCAAAAGCGCAGAGACACGAGTGAGGCTGCAGGAAAAACAAGCAAACGCCATGTGTCAGAACACATTCTTGTGATATCTGCGGCATTAGGATAATGACTTAAAGCGCTGTCCCCTTAAATGTGCATTCCTGTACTCTGCAGCTTCGCTCGTGAAGCTCACGTCTTCGCTGCTGAGATAATAATAATAATCCTTGCATTTGATATGGCGCTTTTCACGGTCTGGAGGACGTCCCAAAGCGCTTCACAGAACACACTGTAAAGTGAATTGACTGTATATTTGTGGGCAAACGCGGCGGCCGATTGCGCACAGCAATGTCCCACAAACAGTCGTAGATTGAAAATGACCAAATTATTATTGTTTTTTTGTTTTGGAAGGACTATTATTAGGCGTGTGGAGTAAGGAAACTTGCCCAAGGCTTAGCCCTGACCTGCCTGGAATTGAACTCAGGTCTCTCGCTTGCAAAGCGAGTGCTCTAACCACTTAGCTACAGGACTCCAGGTGTAGTGATTGTGCTCCCAAACGCGCTATTGGTGCACGAAGGGCGCAAAAGAAATCCAAGTGGTGCTGATGGTGGTTGTTGTTGTTGTTACTGCAATATAGAAGCTGACAACTTCAAATACTCACAAGTGCTGAATGCAGTTGTCTTTTTTGGGGGCCGTTTCAGTTGCAAAATAAAACTATTTCACGTAATAGGGGTTTATTTCGAGTGCGTAATTCCGGACAAAGCAGGAGGTGCTTTTTTTTTTAATGTATACCACCGTTCCCAAACAGCTGAATTGGTTGCAAATTGTTGCCTTTCCTCCTCTCTCCCCCCCCGCCCACTACCACCTTCCTCTGGGATTTCAGACGGTAGTGTTTTCAGTGTTTCCATTCATTATCATGGGGGGGTGGTGGTGGGGGAGAAATTCAGTCTTATTTGCTTTTGTCTCATTGTTCACTCTGAGGCATGTCTTGACAAGTGCTCTGTGCTGCTGGTAGGGGAGGGGGGGAGAGAGAGAGAGAGAGAGACAGTCGTTTTTCAGCTTCTCCCAACCCTGACATTTCTGTCAACTCAGGAAGATTCAAGGGGGCTAAGAAAAGGGGATTGCAATGCACTGTTGCCACTTATGAATCATAACTCCTAGACTACTCTGAGCACTGTTTATATTGTAGGAGGACTTAAAAGGGAGGAGGGGGTGGGGGTGGGTGCAGACAAGTTATCTTCTGTGTAATTAATTAGGGGCAGTGGATGTCAAAAACATCTGGAAACCTCTCTCTCGCTCTCTGTGAAAACCTGTAAGAATGAACCAGCAACACTGCTGCAGAACAGTCATAAACCAACAAAGAAATGAAGTTTAAAAAAAGCCAACGCTGTGAGAAACAAGTACGAGCTCCTGCCGAATGCCATATAAATCATCTGATCGTTTGGCCTCAATCTGTGCTTTAAGTCTGCACTTTAAATCGTAGATCCCCCACCCCCCCATCCCTGTTCTATGTCTCCTTCCCCCCCCCACCCAGCAATATCACAGCAGAGAAGCCAATCCCTCCTGTGTGGCTGTGGCTCTGTCACCTCCTTAAAACGTTTGCTTCTCCTTTTTCCTTCTCCTCCCATCGAGACGACAGCGAAACTGCTAAGGAATCGGTGTGGCGGACCCCGGGCAGTGAGGGGTTATTTTCAGAGCTTTAGGCACCGAAAGTGGGGAACCCGGGATCGCAGCACAGAGAAGTGGGAAAGGGAACCGCTTATCCCAAGAACTAGTAACTGATGCAACTGACAGTCCAAAGCACCAAAAACTTCCAAATCACATGCAACCTCGGGATGCTGATGCTCTCAGATGCACCAACACCCCCCCACCCACCCCCACCCTCTCTCTCTCTCTCTCTCTCTCTTGCTCCCCCTCCCCACCCCATTAACTCTTCAATCACCGGCTGTCACTGACTCAAACCTTCTCCTTCGAAAAAAAAAACCCAAGGGCTGGATTCACGTACGATTTCCAATGAGAAAAGATGAACTGTCCGCCTGCGGAGAAACTGATTGGAGTGAGTGAGACCCGAGAAATCTGAGAGTGAAAGCAGACGGGAGAGTAATGCTCTTGACTGATCCGCCTGTTCTCTGCACCGACGTACACTGTAACCTCGCAGAATTATAAACGACTCATCCATTCGGGTTCAGAGTCTTTCCAGTTTGCACAGAGATGTCACTTTCTTGTGACAGGAATGTCGTGATGCTGCGAATTAATTCCATGAGACGCACCATCCCGAATAGATCACTGAACTCTGGTGCAAACGTCCTTTAATCTTGTGATAAGGGGGAAGCAGAAATGATTTTATGGGGGTGGTGGGGGAAAGACTTGCCCTTTGAAGACTATATGATTTTTGCACGGAATATTCTGGGATTTTCATGCACGTAAATTCTCTTTGCAACATTTGAAAGATTTGCAGAAACCGGTTTTGCAGATGTTGTTTGATGTTGTTGGACACTGCAAAGGAGATTCTGGACTCATCACATCACAGCTATAAAAAGGAGTCAGGCAAGATCAAATTACACCCTGATGCTCTTGTTTGCGAAAGTCATATTTCAAAATATTGATCACGGAATTCTATTGTTAAAAGATTGCATTTTTGCATCTTTTTTGGGGGAAAAATACCATTGATAATATGCACTTATGAAATTCTGCTGTTTCTAAGGAAACATCCTTTCCCTCAAGTGCAAAGACTGTGCTACCCGAATCTTGTTTTTCTGTGATTATATTTTTCCCTCCTCCTCCTCCTCCTCCTCACGGTTATGGTTGCAGATGGGTGGCTAATTTTCATAATTAGCGTAGGTTTTCTACACTGATGAATGATGTCGTGTTTAAATCAAGCTATTTCATAAATCCTAGGTGTTCGTGACTCTTGTTATTCAGACGAGTTAAATAAGCCCCTCCTCAACCACATTTAACTAAACTTGAGTTTTCCTCATGCTATTAGATTCTCTGGCATGCAAGCATGTACTTCAGTATTTGGAAATCAAATGATTATTAGTCTATTCTGTAATCACACAGCGACTCTAAATGGCATTAGCTCTGGCTGCATGGGCTGATAAAGATCAGCACTGTCTACATCCATGGGTATAGTCTCAGTGTACCCAGCTCTCCAGTGAAAGATTATAGGCTGTCTACATGAGTTTCCCTGTTTTCTCACATGAGAACTCAATTCCAATCAGTACGCAGCTGAATTATTCGGTCTACAACATTGATACTGAATGAGATATGCTATCTTAAGCCAAATGCTTGCAGAATAGAGTGGAAAAGCTCACTTTACCTGGTTCAAACCTATGCCATGTTTGTGGGCACAGCTGGTGCCACCTGTTATGATGAATGTCAGATTGTGGCAGCTAACGATTGCACAGCCTACTTCAGTAACTGTAGCAGTATTTTAAAGAGATTAGATGAAGTGGTTACACGCGTTTGCATACTTGATAAGTCTTAGCTTTGAAGCCAAATCATCCTTTAATATTTTTGAACGAAAGTAAAGTAATAAAAAGGATATTTTCATTTAAGGGACCAATTGTCTGTAGTACATTAAGTTTTGAGATGACATAGCTCTACATAGACTGATTGATCGTTTCATTGTACAAAATACATTGGAAATGTCTTCAGCTGCATATTGTCTCGGCCAGAATGGACGACTGAACGACTTTGTGTAATTTTATTCTTCTGCCACAAGTACAAAAAGCCACATTTATTACAATTAACTTAGACCATAAATACTCTGCAGTTCTAGCACTTTGTTTCTAGATGCTAAAATCATTGATGGCGATAAATGTAGGAGAAATGGGTGACATTACATTACTTGCAACTTTGGATGCTATCCATTAATTCCTGAACATTGGAGAGAACTATTATTTCTGGGCATAGCATAGTAACACAATGAAAGGGGCTGGATAATATTTCAAGAACCCACAAGAAGGAAATTTCCCTCCTAAAGAAAAAGGCTGCACCTGCACATGTATAGGAATATATGCTTCTATTATGTATTTGCCTTTTGTTGGTGAAACAAACACACACACACACAAAGCCTCACAAATTGCCCTGAGTTTCCTCGTTCGCCAAATCTAAATTGAAATTGAGCTTGGCAGTTCAGCATCAAATGAACAGTTCAGCATCTACAGGTTTGGTTTGCCTACAAAATACACAGACACTACACTATACAGTATATCCTGTGAAGCGTTTTGAGCCATCCTGCAGGCATGGAAGCACAATACCAAATGTCGGAAATAAAATTTATACTTAACCCTAACAGGATCTTCCTGGCTTTTCCAGCACTGGGCTTCCCTGGCTTCCCAATTCTTCTTGTGTATTATTTGCCAAAGTGATACTAAGCTTGATGATTAAAGGAAAGCGACTGAAGGTCAAGTCCCTCAATGTCTAGTCTTAATTTTGTTACTCGTGAACTTGATGGCCATTGTTTCCATTCCAGTCACATCTAAAAGACTTTAGGTTTCCATTTCTTGTTATCCTGTTATTTTGTAACGTGTCACCAGTGGAGCTCTCTCTCTCCTGCTGACTGCCACTCAATCACTGCATCACATTGCAAAGTGTATCCTCAAAATAGTTATTCATTGCGGCTAACGAAAAATGAGAGGACTCTTAGCCAATCTAACCTATTTAAATGAGACATCATTTACTGTGCCATTCAGTCTAAGCAGCACAAGTCATAACCTAACTTCACTGTAAATACCTCAACACAATAAACCTTTCATATAGTAAAGTACAGACGCTTTGATGAAGGGGTAATCATGTTGATCTGTAAATAGAAATGAGGGCCACCCTTAGAAATGTTACAGAAGAAAAAAGTACTTTGTTCCATTATGAGCCCTTAACATTGCCAAGAAATGCCACTTCACGAGTACTAAATTTGAAACAAACCCTTATCGCTATCCTTTTTGATTGATAGCACGATGCCTCTCGGGGGACTTAAAGCTAAAGAATTGTGAACTGAATCATAGAAGTGACCAAGGGGATGTTGTAATGTCGAAAAGAAAACATCGGTGGTGATGTATTG